AGAGGCCATGATATCCCCTGAGTCAGGAAAATGGGAGAGAGCGATGGATGAGGAGATGAGGTCTCTGGAGGACAATCATACTTTTACTCTAACAAAGTTACCCAAGGGTAGACAGACAGTGGGAGGCAAGTGGGTGTACTCAATCAAGGAGGGTATTGAAGGGCACGACAGGTACAAGGCCAGGTTTGTAACTAAAGACTACAGTCAGAGGGAAGGAATAGACTACAGTCAGAGGGAAGGAATAGACTACGGTGAGACATTCTCCCCTACAGCTAATCTGACCAGTGTACGGGTAGTTATGCAGAAGGCAGCTGAAGACGACTTGATTTTACACCAGATGGATGTGAAGACAGCCTACCTGCACGCACCCATTGATAGGGACATATATATGGAACAACCTGAAGGTTACGAGAAGAAAGGAGAGAAGCTAGTGTGCAAGCTAGAAAAATCCATTTACGGCCTGAAACAGTCCGGGCGAAATTGGAACGAGATGCTTCATGCATGTCTAATTGAAGACCACTTCATACAGAACCCAGTAGACCCCTGTGTTTACACAAAGGAGTCAAAAGAGTCAGGAAAAGTGATAATTGTGATTTGGGTGGATGATTTGATCATCGCAGCAGACAACACTAGAAACCTAGAGCAGGTGAAAGGTATGCTCTCCACCAGATTCAAGATGAAGGACCTAGGCAGGTTAAAACATTTTCTAGGCATGGACTTCGAACAGTCTGCCAGTTGTGTAAAAATATCCCAGAAGAGATATGTGGAAAAGATCCTGAATCGTTTTGACATGCAGGAGTGTAGAATTAGGGAAACACCATGTGATCAAAAGCTAGACTACAATGAGGATGCACAAAAATTGACGGATGTAAAAATGTATAGAGAAGCTGTAGGCAGCCTCATTTATTTGACAACATGTACTCGCCCTGACCTATGTTTTGTCGTGAGTAAGTTATCACAGCATTTTGCTGATCCCACAGAAGAGCACTGGATTACAGCAAAACATGTTTTCCGTTATCTTAAAGGTACAGCAGATAAACAGCTTTGTTTCAGGAAGAGCAGTGAGGGCTTAGGGCAGGGGTCTGCAACCTTTTTGACCAAAAGAGCCATTTTGCTCCTTTTTCCAAAAAAATGTTTTGTCTGGAGCCGCAAAACACATTAGTTTTTTATTGTTATATCAGACAAAAACTACAGTATTTTTGCATTTATTAGGCTATTTATTACATGATATACAACTGTTAACCTCTAATAAGAAACAAAGAACTCTTATAAGGAGAATTAAAAACAATACACAGGCCTACTTTAAAATAAATTAAACACAGCACTTGGGGAGTCCTCTGCACATTTGAAGGGAACAAAAATATTATTAAAATGGGCCCACTTTGAAATAAATAAAACATATAGCTGCACCCTAAAAAGAGTTAAAGGTAGGGTAGATAAGAATGGAGAAACCAGCTCGAGTGCGCTAGAATTTGAAAGTACACAACCGCAAAAAATATGCCTCTTCCTTCAGACTTCCTCACAGAGCCCCTCCTCCAACACACACGAACGCGCACATGACCAATGAGGGCACGAGATAAGCTTGTGCGCAGATGGAAGGCTGACAGGCAGTTAGGCCATCCAGTTATTTTAGCTGGGCCGGCTCAGATGATTGGTCGTGCTTTTTACAGCGCTACGGCTTCCAGAGATTAATTTTTGTATGTATTTATTGTCAAAGCATTTAATATATTCATTGCTATCGGGACATTAAGAGCATTCCATGGAATATAACAAAAAGTGTTTTCTGAAATAAATGATATACCCCATTGAATGATGACTGAAGATCGTCAGCTGACTTCCTCTCCCTTGTTATTCCTCGATACGTAAAGGCTGCACCACCGTTAACAACTTCTCTCTACATATCAGACATACCGGTAAACCAGCATCGTTTGCTGTGAAAGCATATAACTCTGTCCACACAGAATTAAATCCTGTGTTCCTCCGGTACTTTTCTTTGATTTATCCATAGTTCGCTCATCGAGCCGGGGGTCAGGTTATTCGCCTCCAAGAAAAGGCGCTCGCACGGGACCGTAGCAGGATGTGACGCATATTTTAGTTGACCTAATTAAAACCGTTTTGTTTTTTATTTATGTGTCACAGTATCACCTCAAAATACAAGATACGAAACATTTTCAACCATGCAACAAAATATAAATAGTCCTACAAATACTTTTATTTCCTTCTTATTTTTGTCTAAGCTCAAGGGAGCCAGAGCAGAGGGCTTAAAGGGCTGCATGCGGCCCGTGGGCCGCGGGTTGCCGACCCCTGGCTTAGGGCTTCAAGCCTATAGTGACGCAGATTGGGCGGCAGACGCCACAGACAGGAGAAGTACCACAGGGTATTGTGTGAGTATGGGTACAGACAGCTCACTGGTTTCATGGAAAACAAATAAACAGCCCACAGTGGCACTATCAACTTGTGAAGCCGAATATATGGCTCTAGCCTTGACAATACAGGAATGTATTTATCTGGAACAACTGCTCGAAGAAATGGATACCTATGTATATAAGAAAACTGTTGTTTATGAAGACAACCTGGGAACCATTGCACTTGCCAGAAACCCTGTGTGCCGACAGAGGTGTAAACATGTGGATATAAAATATCACTTCATTAGATCTGTCATCAGAGAAGAAAAGATGACACTGGTTTACTGTCCCACAGATGACATGGTTGCAGACGCTATGACCAAGCCTGTCTCCAAACTGAAATTGAACAAATGTGCAGGGGTCATGTTCGGTGTGTAAAATATTGCCTATTATGTAATATTGACTGCCATGTTCTTTTGATGTTTTGAACTGTTATTTTTCTTGGAAAAGTTGTACAGTATACACGTCATTCATAAGTGGGAGTGTTAAGTGTAGTATTAATATGTCTGCATGTAACTGCACTATAACTGTTCCACAGTAAGAGGGCGCTATAGGCGTAAGGAGGCGCAGCTATTGTAGCTGACGTCAGGTATCAGGTAAGGGATTGTTCCCTCCCCTTCTATCTCTCTCTCTAGCTCTCATGGAGAACAGGTCAAGTGGTGCAATGCACATATGAAAATAAACCACGCCAGTTAAGGCTAAAGAAGATCTCGTCGTCATGACCAGTTTATTGCTATACATGTGACTCTGTCAACAATATGAAGTAACATCAAGTAACCCAAAATGTTAAACAGTAAGAGTAGTAGTCATATTTCGTGAACCCTTTGAAGAGTACTGTCACCGGTGTGATCATTCTATAATACACAATTTAAGCCCGGGGGAGAAATGCTAACGCTAGCATCGGCAATCGCCGATCTTTTCTACTTCATGCTATCTGCACAAATGGTTGACATTAACCATTAAAAAGACCAGGCAGTTCAGAGAGATTCAAAGGAAGGCAGGCAGGCAGCTTTGCATGACATTCTTCTGGACGTGTTTCATTGTGTTGATAGTGAGGGTAGTCAATCGTTTTGTTGACAAGACAGTAGTGACGGCCATCTTGGTGACATGTGTTGTTCTGCGAGACCAGAGATGTAGTTCATTGAGCGTTTCACACAAACAAATGTGTTACTTCACAGTTTTACGACACATTTGACTTGCAAAATTATCTTTTAAATTGACAAACATCATATGTGTAATTCGTGGCACAATTCAAACGGGATCGAAAGATAATCTTTCTCTCTCCATTGACTTCAATACATAATCTTTTCGAAATAAGGTCCCATGGAGGTCCACCGGAAGGGGAGGGACTTCGCCACTCTATTGATACCTGAGGTGGGAAAAGGGGTGGGGCTACATACAGTGAATACATTTTCAATAAATAAAGAGAAGCACACATTAATAAAAAAAATCAAACACACTTCCAGAAAACAGGTTGCTGCATAAAAAAAACATTATTAAACTGCACAAAAAATAACTGCAAAACTTCAACTCTAGGCCGTCTGGAAACACCTTCAAACCTCAGGGCCTGGCCTTGAACATTCTGCTGACCCACTCTGTGTTTCTAAAGCAGTGTTTCTCAAAGTGTGGGGTGCGCCCCACTGGTGTGGCGCAGAGATGTGATAGGTGAATAGAATAGAATAGAATGGGAGGGATGAAACCCTCTTTAATGGTCACACATGCTTGCAGAGCACACAGCACACAGCACACACAGTGTTCTCTGCATTTAACCCATCCTAGTACCAGGAGTCTAGTACTAAGAGCAGTGGGGTCGCGATTGGACGCGATGAACGGGAGACTATTATTATTTTTTTGGACCTCAGGCCGGAATCGAACCTGGGTCCTCGCGGGCGGTAGTGGACTGTTACAGCCGGAGACTCGCAACGACGGTGGACTTTCACAGCGCCGGCGCCGCCGGACCAGTGGCGGCGCCAGAGATTTTCTCTAGAGGGTGCTGTGGGGTAGCTTGACGTTTCATAGAGGGTGCTCAAACATTAAGGGTTTCCCATTAATGCACCAGCGCTACAGTTGAATTTTCTACTGCAACACTCCCCACACGCAAACACAGTGTACCCGCGACTGTTACAATGAAGACTCTGTAATCAGCTCACGGCATATAGGGGTAAAGTGCTATTTTTACAAGTGGGGGGTGGACCTCACCTCCTCTAGGAGAGTCCTCACCTCCTCTAGTGGGGTCCGTTTCCCCGGGAAGATTTTTTTTAAATATTGAAGTTAAAAGCATCAATCTGGTACACTTTGAGAGCAACATTAAGAGATCTATGGATACATCTCTCAACACCCATATGAACAGGGCTGCCAAGTTTCAGTAAAAAGTAGGAGCGAGACTTTCGGGGGAAGATGCGTCGGCGCCGATTTTTTTTTGGCATTTTTTAACGTCGATTTAGAGGAATATCTCCATTTAAATTAACATTAAGACTGTTGTGATGTCTTCACCCCCATGCCAGCTGCTCTCCCTGCACTGTCGGCCTCTTCATGCTTATATAGTGTTAATAATTGACCAGCACAAGTAGAAATGAAAGCAATTCTAACAAGAAAAAGTTTGACAAATAAAATACATTTATTTATAAAATGTCAATATAAAGAAAACATAGCAGCCTTTTAAGAAACAATAGCAGCCTTTTCCTTTAGTGCATTTTTTTTGTAACACAATTAGAACCAGAATAATATATATATACTATATATTATAAAAAAAAGTGCATGTCTTTGTTTGTAATTTTTGGTTTACATGACATGTCTCATGTTGTAGGTGTTTGTGGCAGATTTTGATGCCTTGATGACAGAGGGAGGGGGCTCCCATTTGAAACACTGTGGCTCAAGGTTTGCCATCTTCACAGTCATGATGGATGATAGAGTTCCATCAAGAGCCAAACTGTTTCGGGTTTTGGTTTTGTTCAGTCCCACCACAGAGAACACTCGTTCAGCATCAGCATTTGAATGTGGAAGTACCAACACCAACTTGGCAATACGGGAGAGCCTCCCAAATCTGCTCATACTGGTCACCTTTGAAAAATGTACATAGGAAGCCTAATTACTCTCAAGTATTTTTGTATAGAATTAAGTTGATTACGTCAATGGGTATTTCAAAGGGTGCAGAATAATTCTTACCTTATTCTTCATTCATGTCATGTTCCCCCAAAAGCTCTCAATGTCGAACGTGGCTGGGTCTTCGGGCATGGCAATATCCATGGACTGGTAGTCCAGAAACTCCTCACTCAGTTTGTCACGCTCGTCAGGCCCGTTGTATGGGAGAAGTTTAGGAAACCTAAAAAGAACACAATGTGCACTGATCTGGTAAAGTAATGTAGCTGAAACGGGTTGTTTTTCAGATGTGGTCATTAAACTTTACAATCTATTAAGAAAATATTAAGAAAATGTGACAAGAGCCAAGAGTCTACCTGACATCTTTCAGACTTTCAAACTAACAGACAAACATCAGACAGAAATCGAAGTATAGTTAAGGAATGAATGATCCAGTCTCAAAAGATAGCTACATGTTACTGTTTGATTGATTGAATATGTTATTAGACAGAAATGCAAACAGCACAGGTACTACTGTACCTACTGTAAATTCCCTTAGCTCATAGTAAGTATCCATTTGCTAACACACGCAAATACGTGATGATTTAACTAACACTGCTATTAGTCACGGTTGTTTGTTGTTAAACCCACCGCAGCAACCTGCCACACTGCTCACCAGCAGCCTGTGTTACGTTCAGTCTCAGACCAAGGTTGACTTCATCAAAATAAAAATATTTGTACAAATAATGTGTTTGTAAAAAATGAAGTGGTTACCTACCGTTTGACCTCCCGTTTCAGATGAAAATGTCAGTCACGGCATTATTGAGGCGCTGACAGACATCTCACGTTTACTTTTCGATTTCTCCGCCATAAGTGTTGTTCTCATAGAGTTGTCTTCATAGGATAGAGACGCAATGACCCGCCCTAAGCTGCCTCTGATTGGTTTGTATACGTGGTGCCTTTCGTTTGGTTGGTTAGATTTAGCCTCGAGGGCTGATGATTGGTTATCACATATCTCGGTCAGCCAATTGGGGGCAGAATAGGGCGGGCTCACCCTGTCCCTGACTCGAACTACGGCAAGTCTCAAGCAACAAGTTATGGAAATATATCAAATAAATAAATAATAAAAAATTAATTATAAAGTAGTGAGAGGGGAAAAACGCGTGTGAAATGGCAAGTGTGGCGTGAGACGTGTGAAGAGGTTAAATTACGTGACTCTCACTCTCAAAGGGTGATACTTGGCAGCTCTGCATATGAAACAGAACTGTAAACAGATTTTCTATTTCTTTATAGATATTTTACAAATCGTTCCCCTTTTAAAACAAACCGTTGGAGACCCACAGAGATAACTTAGACTATCTAAACCCTCAGAGAGTCCTTTACCTCACCTGAGCTGTAGTTATCAGTCTCTCAGTCTGACAGCAGAGGACTCTCCTCCTCCTTATATCCGTTAGCGCAGCTAGCTAGCACCAGATGCTAACAACAACAACAATACACGTAACCGGTGCGCGCGCTCTATCTCTCTCGCGCCACACATACACACACCCTCCTGAGCTTGAACGACACAGAGACCAATCGAGGGCTTTAGTGTATGGTCGGCAGGCCACATCATGTAGACAGCCAGTCACCCTCTGTGAGGCAGAGTCAGACCCACATTTGCGCAGCGTTGCGTTCACAATACATACATTAAAAAAAAATCCTCAGGCCAGCAGGCCACTTAACAGGCCAGGCCATCGGGAAACCTCCCGGTCCTCCCGATGGCCAGTCCGGGCCTGCCAGATGCTAACCACAACGATCTCCAGTAGATACCCACCGGTGCACGAGCTCTCTCTCTCGCTCGCGCACGCACACAAAATGGCTCGTGCCACCACACACACACAGAGCAGAGCTTGAATGAAACACAGAGACCCAGAAGTAAGCTACTTGTACTCACGAGGCCTATTATGTGCAGAATCCCTCTCGCTTTCAGGTGGTTTTGATTGAGACGTGGACGTTTAAGGACTAAAAAACGATAAATGTTTCACTTTGCTGTTAGCAAATCATTTGGCGCTCTAGCTAACAGGAAGTCACTCAAGTGTCACAATGTAATTTAGCCTATGGGAGGTAATAAATCGAATGGGTGCTGGCCATTGGCCTAATCATATCACCTGTGTTGGCTTTATGTTTTTGGTAAACAATGTGTTTGTTTCACATTTGCATTGATGTAATCAATAATTTTTCTAATTTAATAAAAATAATAATAATAATTTTCGAAAAAAAACATCTTGGGGGTGCTTAGGGGGTGCTTTGGCAATCCTGGGGGGTGCTTCCCTAGCTCCCCCCTGGCGCCGCCGGAGCCTCGCTACGGCGGGTGTTTGCGGTGGATGCGGATGCGGTACCGGCGCAGCGGTATGGGCTCAGAATAGTCTCATAATACACACATAAGAAGGATTCACACTTGTATTTCCGGATCCACACTTGTGTTTTTCAATGCACACACAAATGTGTTCCGTTTCATATACATGTAAATAAAATCCAAATACAGAAAAAAGTTGTACATATGTATTTTTGATCCTCACATATTTTTCCGTTTAAAACCTCTGCACCTGCAAACACAAACCTCTTTCTGTGCATGGATCGCTGTGCATTCGTGTGTGGGATTTTTGAGACTCCCCTGATGGTCACCCGATTCATACTTGTAATTTTTTCTATCTATAACCAATCACTCCTTCATTCTAAGCCAATCACATGAGGGTATGATTTCTTGCGTTCGTGACGTAGCACTTCATATACGCATTTTGCGCTGTCCGGAGATGACAGGTCCATGGAGCCTGCAGGCGCTAATCTCATGACCGAAGGACCGTAGCATAGTCGTCTTTATTTTTACGGTATTATTCAAGGATAAATAAGGAAGTGTGTTATATGCAACCCGGTATCACGGCAAGACGTGAACATGTGACGATTTACCATGCTGGGAGACGTGAAGATGTCACGGTTTCGTCCCCTTCAAACGTGACAGCTACACGGTATTGTTAACCCATGTTAACCAGTGGAGAAATAACCGGAAATACCAAGCAAATGCTACCCCGACGTAATGATTTATTTTGTAATAGTCACACTCGATTACAGCGATTTTCTTGTTGTCCCAGCTGGTCGACACCTCTTTTAGCATAAACAAAGGCTACATTAATGTATTAAATCGATGTTAATCCATGCGCGTGGATGTGGAATTAACGGACGTGACGTTGTGCGATTGAGTTGCCAAGCAACAGCTTCGGTTCATGTTAATTTACAAACTATTCAACTACAACCGTAGTTATATTTAAAAACATGTTAGAAGGCCTCACGAAATACTTTAATGCACATTAAAATGTAAATGTGAAGGAATGTGTGTAGAACAAAATACATCGGTCATTAAACGAAACCGGAAACAGACGTAGGCAAGATCCTCAGCTCGATGATTGGATGGTTATCCGCAATGCATGCTGGGATTTGGTGTTTATGTGATGTGAAATCTGAAAACGTTTTTTAAAAATACAATAATACTTTATTCCGAGTGTGCTTGATTTTCTCTTTGAAAGTCATCACATAACGGCATTGTAATACACGGTTCGGCTGCATTAAATATTACATATCTGCCGTAGTTCTCTATTTATAGAGCCCTGCTGAGAAGACTTCTAGACAAACAGGAGAACTGCCGCCTAAACTGAAGATGTGACGTGGATCATAAATATATAAGCAATTATACAACATCTTACATTTATTTTCACACAATACGTCTCCTTGCAGTATCAACACTAATTCGGCTGACTTTTATATTTGATCCAATTGGTAGATAGGCTGTATTTAAACCATAACCGTGCAGAGCTGATAGAAAGGGACACCTGGTGGTCAAAGCACGTTATTGAATTGTATTATTTTATTATTAGATATTAATAGGAGGATGTGCAAAACAGACAAACTAATAAGGCTTAATTTAAACATTAAAGAGTACTTTAGGTTAAGGTCTTATTTTGAATAAGAAAAAAGCTTTAAGAAGAATATGGAGGGATAAACCCTCTTGAAACCGCAGGTCCTTCCTTCCTGCAGCGGTCAGACTTTACAACCAGCACTGCCCCTTGTAGACCCTCATACACACACCACAACACAGACTATAACACCCCTTGCTGCTAAATACAAACCAACTTTGTGCTATATGTGCAATATATATATGCCATTAATAACTGTGTAATTTATACCTGGCCACTAAATCAATATATATGCCGTTTTGTTTTTGATCTGTATTTTTGAAAATTATGCAACTTTTTATCTTTTTTTTAGCATATTGTTTATTATATTATAACTTAGTACTTTTTTAGCATATTGTTTATTTTATTCTAACTTAGTACTTTTTTAACGCATGTAAGATATGCAACACTAAGCTGTCTGTGGCTCTTTCCTGCTGTAACGCTGCACATTTCCCCTCTGTGGAACTAATAAAGGTATTCTGATTCTGATTCTTTAATGGTCACACATGCAGAGCACACAGCACACACAGTGACATTTGTATCTACAGATAAATATTAAGCCTGACAAAGTACTTAACGTCTAATATATTGCTTTCCTGCAATGTTAACTATGTTTAAGCACTTATTTGTTTATTATTTGTTTATTATTAAACTGATATTATACATATGTATTATACTCTTATAAGATGTATGTAGATAGTATAAGAAATGTGCAGAATGACAGTTTAATGGTGGAGTATACACACATATTGATAGATGTCTTGTAATGCACTGTTGAGGAACCTGCGACCCAAGTTTTTCATTCATTGCATAACTACACCGTAGTTGTGTATAATATGATATGTCAATAAACCTTAGCTTATAAAATCTTGAAATCTTGAAAGGGATGTTCAAACTAGTCATTATATACAGTCTTTAATGAACTATTAGTAGAGAATAACGAGTAATGAATATACTTTATAGAGATCCTATTAATATCTAATAATAAAATAATAAAATTCAATAACGTTCTTCAACCACCAGGTGTCCCTTTCTATCAGCTCTGCACGGTTATGGTTTAAATCCAGCCTATCTACCAATTGGATCAAATATAAAAGTCAGCCGAAATAGTGTTGATACTGCAAGGAGACGTATTGTGTGAAAAGAAATGTAAGATGTTGTATAATTGCTTATATATTTATGATCCACGTCACATCTTCAGTTTTGGCGGCAGTTCTCCTGTTTGTCCAGAAGTCTTCTCAGCAGGGCTCTATAAATAGAGAACTACGGCAGATATGTCATATTTAATGCAGCCGAACCGTGTATTACAAAGCCGTTATGTGATGACTTTCAAAGAGAAAAGCAAGCACACTCGGAATAAAGTATTATTGTATTTTTAAAAAACGTTTTCAGATTTCACATCACATAAACACCAAATCCCAGCATGCATTGCGGATAACCATCCAATCATCGAGCTGAGGATCTTGCCTACGTCTGTTTCCGGTTTCGTTTAATGACCGATGTATTTTGTTATACATACATTCCTTCACATTTACATTTTAATGTGCATTAAAGTATTTCGTGAGGCCTTCTAACATGTTTTTAATAGGGCCGGGACCCGATTAAAAAAATTAATCTAATTAATTAGAGGCTTTGTAATTAATTAATCGAAATTAATCGCATTTTTAATCACATATAAATATTTGACCTAAGAACAGTGAGAAGCAATTTTTTTCACATGGATTTTAGTATACCATTAGGCGCATTCACACCGCAGTACTTTTCCCACAAAGGTTCATGAGAATTTAGTTCATGAGAACTCTTTGAACCTGGGGGAGGTTTAGGCAAATGAAGCCGCTGACGTCACTTCTTCTTCTTCTGCTTTGGGTTTACTGGCAGGCTGCAAACCACTTCATGGCGTATACTGCCGCCCAAAGTCCCCGGCCGGA